CACCTATGAGGCTATGATTAATACTCTCTCCGTCCCGCTAAGTTTGTCTTATTTTATCTTTTTCATCCATCCCACTTAGTTTGTCTCATATCATACTTGGTAATATTTCAGTGGTTAAAATTCATTCTTACTTTATTCACACTTTATCAATTCAATACTAACTACACAATTCTATTTTTTTTTTCTTAAAAACCCCACTACACTCCTTTGTCCCAAACTTAGGAGGACGGAGGTAATAGTGGCTTGTCAATGGGGCGTATTAAACTTTGGGCATCTATAAGACAATTAAACATTATGTAGATTAAATATTTTGACATCTGACATGATTTGCGTCACGGATGTTGTAGGCCATTCAAATAAAAAGGTTTATTTTAAAAAATTTTTCCTTAAATAAAAAAATGTTAATTAAGATCTCTCGAAGAAGCGTGCTTCTTAGAATGTGGGGATTTCTATACATTACATTACAGCTGTCTTGGCACATCTTTACATTTTTTTATGACTTATTATTGTAATGTCACCACCACATAAGATAATCTCAAATAATCTCAAATAATCTCCAAACCAATAAATTTCTCCTCATTCATGATCTTAATTTACCTTAGATAGGAGCATAAGCATGACGAATTGCAAAGTTAGTCATCATCATAATTATGAGTGTATGTCTAGAAGTTGGAAATAATCTCAAAATAATCCATCTTTAAAATTTGATATTATATTAATCTCTTAAAGTAAATCAGAACTCTCCATCCATGATCCCAAAAAATCATCCAAATCATCAAAATTATCTCAAAAATAATCTATGGATGTGGATGATGCAAGCATGCTTTGTTTGCCATTCCTTCTCTTGGTTGAGGCACTCCATTATACTATTACTACGTACGGAGTAGTTAATAAGGGTGCTTTGCGTGTATACCCACTCAATTATTTTCTTTAGGGGAAAACACACTTTTGATCTTCAATTCATACTCAAATTAAAATGTCATTCTCATATTTTTATTTTTGTAAATGTGATCCCTAAACGGTTCAATTTTTTTCAAATGTCATCCTCCTCTTGTGTTTTTTGATCTAACATGACATTCATTCATAATAACAGAAAATTGGACAATTGGAGATCACATTTATAAAATTAAAAAACAAAGAGAGACATTTCAATTTGGATACTAACTATGGCTGAAATTTCCTCTTTATAATACTTGGTATTATTACTATGAGCTATATTAGCATTAATAATTGAAGTATACTTATGGATATTTGACTTTGTTTTTAGTCAAACCCAATTTAGAACATGAACCGGTCATAATCGTTGACAAAAGTAGAAGGCTACCATCTTTGAGAATTCCTAACCGGCTTCCTTTTTTCCGCGTACAAATAACAAATCTATCCAATACGTACTGCTGCTTATAAATAACTGGGACCATCCGCCCACTTCCTTGAATTCAATCACCCGACAGCAATGGCGGCTTCATCCTCCATTGTTGAGCTCCTCTCATTCTCAATCCTTCTGTTTCTCTGTTCTTCATCTTCGGCCCAATCCTTCCGCCCTAAAGCTCTAGTCGCCCCTGTAACTAAAGACGCCTCCACTCTCCAATACCTCACCAGAATCAACCAGAGAACACCACTTGTCCCTGTCAACCTCGTCCTTCATCTCGGCGGCGAGTTCCTGTGGGTTGACTGCGACGGGAAATACGTCTCCTCTTCTTACCGCCCGGTTCGGTGCCGGACCGCCCAGTGCTCCCTCGCTCGGTCCATCGCCTGCGGGGACTGCTTCTCTGCTCCCCGCCCTGGCTGTAACAATAACACCTGCGGCACCTTTCCTTATAATCCCATCTCCCTCACCTCCACCAGCGGCGAGCTCGCGGAGGACGTCGTCTCCGTTGCTTCCACCGACGGGTCGACTCCGGGAAGGCCCGCCGTGGTCTCCCGATTCCTCTTCACTTGCGCTCCGGCTTTTCTGCTGAAGGGTCTGGCGAAGGGCGCAACTGGAATTGCGGGTCTGGGTCGGGAAAAGGTCGGAATTCCTTCACTGTTCTCGTCTGGTTTCAGCTTTCGCCGGAAATTCGCAATTTGTCTGACTTCATCGACCGGCGTTGTCTTCTACGGCAACGGGCCGTATAATTTGCTCCCCAGCATCGACGCGTCAAAGCTCCTGACGTACACTCCGCTGTTGATAAACCCCGTGAGCACCGCCGGAGCTTCGTCTCCGGGGCAACCGTCGTCGGAATACTTCATCGGAGTCAAATCAATCCAAATTGGGGACAAAGAGGTGAAGCTGAACACGTCGTTGTTGGCAATTGACAAGAATGGAAAAGGAGGAACGAAGATCAGCACCGTGGATCCTTACACGGTGATGGAAACCTCCATCTTCAAGGCGGTGACGACGGCGTTCGTGAAGGAGGCCGCCGCGAGGAACATTACCAGAACGGCAGCGCCGGTGTCGCCTTTCGAGGTGTGTTTCGGTGCGGAGAACATTCTCAGCACGCGTGTGGGGCCATCGGTGCCGTGGATCACTCTGGTTCTGGGAGGGCAGGGTGCGAAGTGGACGATCACGGGGGCGAATTCCATGGTGGACCTGCGGGATTCCGGGAAGAATGTGTTGTGCCTGGCGGTGGTGGACGGAGGCCGGAACCCTGGGGCTTCAATCGTCATCGGCGGTCACCAAATGGAAGACAATCTTTTGCAGTTCGACTTGGAAGGTTCGAGATTGGGGTTCAGCTCCACACTGTTAGGAAGGCAGACCAACTGCTCCAACTTCAATTTTACATCTTCAGCTTAAATAAAAAATCAACCATTTCATAACACTACAATAATGGCATTTTTACAGAGCCAGGAATGTCAATTTTGCATCGGCAATCAGCTTAATAATGTCATCTTAAATCTCCAATAAGGCAATAATCACTTATTGTTGAAATATTATTGAATTAGTCATCTTCTAACTATTCCTGATTAGGAATTATTATCACCATTACATAAATAATTAGGAAATCATAATTGTGATTTCAAGGTGATAAATGTGTGGCTCACAATGATCTCCTAATCTCATTGAGCTCACACTTTCTCTTATAAATAGGAGTCATTCTCATTGTAATTAACATACCATTACAACACCATTATCACACTTCTAATAACATCTTTCTCAATAAGTATTCAGACTATACTTTCTCTCCCTGATCTTCTGCTTATTTCATTCCATTTTATAACACGTTATCAGCACGAATTTGCTCCAAATCTTCAAAATCATCATCTTCCCATCAGGTATATACTTTCTGGAATTTATTAATTCATGTGAAAAGAAAATCAGAGAATGAGAAGTATAACATGTTTATATATATTCAAAACTATAAGAAGTATGTTCTATGGTTGCCCAACAATTGGGATCCTCCATATCAGAAAATTATAGCTATATATTATATAAAAGAGGCCGAAGAGGAAGAAAGACATACCTTTATACTAATATGTTCTTGAGATAAAATATGCTCTGAAATCTGAACTTTTGCTTGGGAAGAATGTTTGACAGCATATATCAGAGATTTTCATGTATATATGATAATATGAACATATTGTACTAAATACATACTTCGTATGAACTAAATCCGTATGAATATAAGAAGAGCATAAGCTCATCAATCACATGAATCCATCAACTAATATACTACGTAGTAGATAGTATTAGTTTTCTTTTCCTCTCTTCAACATTTGATAGTAGCATAAATACAATCTATTTTTATATCTTCATAGACTATAAAAAAAAAAGGAACTCGATATGAAGTACTCTGTAAAAAAAAAAGGAGAGACGGTGAGGGGAAATTAGTACGTTGTTTGCTTTATATTCGAACATCATCATACAAACTAATTCATTGAATTGATGTATAAGAGCATTTATTTTTACTTGTCTTCTTCCTTTGAGAAGACACTTACATAATTGATATAATAAATACGGAGTACATCGTAGTATCTCTCTCTATAAAACCAACTACTCCGTATTTCACATGGGTGTACTAACACTACCACATCTTTTTGTACGTCATGATATTATGAGTTGGGTTGACACAACAAATATCCAGGTTTCGTGTAAATTGCATGTATTTGCTACTTAGGGGTGAGATAAACAAACTGGACAAATAAACGGTCTTATCTAAATGGCCAGACACTCATAAAGCACTGACAATTTTCTGGAGTCATGGGTTGTTTATTTTTACTAGCACCAGTACCACATATATTGATATACTCCGTATAACTCACGGGTCTACACGGCAATTTAATTTAATGAAGTAATTATCATAGTGCCTTCATATATACTCGGTACATAATATACATACTCCGTACATCTTATAGAGATCTATTGAGCTATTCAGTTATCCATCTCAAGGATTGGTTTAATGTTTTTTTTTTTAATTCATTACATATATACATTGAGAGAACATAATAAGCTACTCCCTAACATTAAATGAGATGACTCATGAGTCATGACTGTCCTGACTCCTGACTATGGTCTCTCATGCCGACATATACACGTGAAGTTTTTTTTTTTTTTTTTTTATGTTGACTTCACTATTTTGGCTTTTCCCAACACCATTTCAATTTAAAGACCCGGTGTATAAATAAATAAAAATGAAATGGATTTAATACTGAGTATAGATTACTACATCTACGCATATGAAATAATTAATAAATAAAAGTGATAACAATAAATTATACGTATACCTCTTGATTTGGACTTTGGAGGAAGTTCATTATTGTTTTCTTTTTGCTACCTCATGTGTGTGAAATGTTTTTTCAAGACAATCACTTTGACTAAAATATTACTTAAAACCGATGAACTAAAATTATTTGAAAAATGGACTGCTGTGTTGTATATTGTTAAAACCAAGACAACAATTTATCCATCAAAGACATACGGTTACTATAGTATATTATTTCTTTTGAAATAATAACTTTTGATTATTATTAAGTTACACATCTCCAATTGTTAAGAGGGCCCCTTAACAATTGGTATGACAGTAACTTGAACCAAACGGTCATTATGTACATTTCTGTCAATTGCCGGGAATAACCCCTCATAACGGCACTCATGATCGTTTTTAATCTCAAATGATGAGGTCGAAATTAATAAGAAGTAAATATGTGACCTAAATCACTTCTCTTATTGAAAGTCCGAATAGAGTAACTCACTTTATTTTCTCCTTGTTATCTAGTATGGAGTATATTTCAAAATAGAAATTTAAAGTAGTGCTTATTTTTAACGTGAAAGTTATGCACAATTAAATGTACTATTAAGTGAAGTACAATTTATATTACAATATTGAACTAATATTTGTTCATTTTATCTTCGCGAAGATATGGAGTTAACTAAAATTTCTCCAAGTGGCTCTGAACAATGTCTAATAGACAGTGCCACAACGCACACCATTTTGAGACATAGAGATTATTTTTCTCATATGACATTAGTTGATGCTAATGTCAATACAATCTCAGGTGTTGCTAAACTCATTGAAGGTTCCGGAATAGCCTATGTGATTCTCCCAAAAGGGACAAAATTAATAATTAAAGACGCTTTATACTCCAGTAAATCACGGAGAAATCTTTTGAGCTTTAAAGATTTGCGTCTAAATGGTTTTCATATTGAAACCATGTCTGAAAATCAGAAGGAATATTTATGTCTAACGACAAATAGATCTGGCAATAAATACATTTCTGAAAAAATGCCAGCATATTCCTCGGGACTGTATTATACATATATCAGTCCAATTGAGATAAATGTGGTATCTAAAATTTATGACCACAATTCTTTTATCTTGTGGCATGACCGTTTAGGTCATCCGGGCAACACTATGATGCACAAAATTATTGAAAATTCACTTGGACATTCATTAACTAATGTCAAGATTCCACAATCAAGTGATTTTTCGTGCACTGCCTGCTCTCTTGGCAAATTAATTATCAGGCCATCTTTATACAAAATTGGAGTTGAATCTCCTGCATTTTTAGAAAGAATTCAAGGAGATATTTGTGGGCCAATTACCCCTCCGTGTGGACCGTTTCGATATTTTATGGTGCTCATTGATGCATCAACACGTTGGTCACATGTCAGTCTTTTATCGACTAGAAATTTTGCATTTGCAAATCTCCTTGCTCAAATTATTCGTTTGAGATCACAATTTCTGGATTATTCGATAAAGAAAATCCGACTTGATAATGCAGGAGAATTTACATCCCAATCTTTTGATGACTATTGTATGTCAATTGGGATTGATGTGGAACACCCAGTTCCACATGTACATACACAAAATGGTCTTGCTGAATCCTTAATTAAGCGATTACAATTAATTGCTAGACCATTATTAATAAAATTCAGATTACCATCATCTGCATGGGGATATGCTATAATGCATGCTGCAAATTTAATTCAGCTTAGGCCAACTGCATATCATAAATTTTCCCCATTGCAATTAATATCTGGTAAAGAACCAAATATATCACACATAAAAATATTGGTTGTTCTGTGTATGTACCAATTGCTCCACCTTATCGTACTAAAATGGGTCCTCAAAGAAGGCTGAGAATTTATGTTGGTTTTAAATCACCCTCAATTATTAATTATCTAAAACCTATGACCGGTGACTTATTCACCGCGCGGTTCGATGACTGTCATTTTGATGAGACAATATTCCCAGCCTTAGGGGGAGATATTAAAGAAATGGACCCACGTACGAAAGATATTACTTGGAATGCAACAAATTTATCTTTTCTTGATTCTCGCACAAATGCTTGTGAACAAGAAATTCAAAAGATTATTCATTTACAAAATGTTGCAAACCAATTGCCTGATGCTTTCACAGACTCAAAGAAAGTGACAATGTCACATGTTCCAGCTATGAATGCTCCTTCTCGAATAGAAATTCCTGCGGAGATTAGCGAAAGAACTCTTGCTAATGAATCTATGATACGTAAAAAAACGTGGTAGACCACTTGGTTCAAGAGATTTGAAACCAAGAAAATTTAAACAGCAAGTTGTAGTTTGTGATGCCAAAGAAGTTCAACCTTCTCAAGAAGAAAATGAACATTTTGAAAATATCGGCCTTGAAGATAACATCAATAATAATGATACCTCAAAAGAGGATCCAATCACCTTCGAAGAGGTAAATATTCCAGATAAAGATAGAAACGTCGATAATTTCGAAATTTCAATTAATTACGTTTCTAATGGAATAGAAATGATATTGATGTCAATGATATATTTTCATATGCCATTGCCACAAATATAATGAATGAACACGATGACAATGAGCCTAAATCTATTGACGAATGTCGTCGTAGAAATGATTGGCCAAAATGGAATTAAGCAATTCAGGTAGAATTAAAATCGCTAGAAAAGCGTAATGTTTTTGGACCAATTGTCCATACGCCAAAAGGCGTAAAACCTGTCGGTTTTAAATGGGTTTTTGTGCGTAAACGCAACGAGAAAAATGAAATCGTTAGATACAAAGCCCGACTTGTTGCCCAAGGTTTTTCTCAAATGCCAGGAATCGATTATGATGAGACGTATTCTCCAGTAGTTGATGCTACAACTTTAAGATTTTTAATTGGCATGTCTGTTTTTGAAAGGCTGCAAATGCGTCTAATGGATGTAGTGACCGCATATTTATACAGTTCACTCGACACAGACATATATGAGAATTCCTGAAGGCTTTAAAATACCTGATGCTTATAGCTCGAAATCTCGAGATTTATTTTCTATAAAATTGCAAAAGTCATTATATGGATTAAAACAATCTGGACACATGTGGTGGTATAACCGTCTCAGTGAATATTTGATTAAAGAAGGATATAAAAATGATCCTATTAGTCCATGTGTTTTCATTCAGCGATCCGAATCAGGATTCGGCATGATTGCAGTATATTTTGATTATTTAATCATTATTGAAACTCCCATTGAAATTGAAAATACTGCAAAATATCTCATGAAAGAATTTGAAATGAAAGGTATTGGGAGGACAAATTTTTTTCTCGTCATTCAAATTGAACATTTGAGAAATGGTATTTTTATTCATCAATCAAAATATACCAAGAAACTTTTGAAGCGGTTTTACATGAATAAACCACACTCGCTCAATTTTTCAATAATGTTTCGATCTCTCAATATAAATGATGATTTTTCCGACCTTGTGAATGTGATGAATAAAACCTTGGTCGTAAAATAATATATTTGAATGCTAGATATTTGAAGCATTAATGTATTTGGCTAATATAATACTTGACTAGATATTTCTAGCTTTTTCTATAAATTTGTTAGCCAGATATAGCGCAGGTCAAAGGACGTTACATCAAAGGGGAGAGAACAAAGCGTACAACACCAACACTTTTCTCCACACATGATTTTGAGAAACAAGGAACGGTTAATGTCAAACAAATCAAGTCCTGTGACAATCCTGCTGATTTATTCACAAAGTCATTGGCACCGAAGAAATTCGAAGAACTTGTCCACAAAATTGGAATGTATCACTTCGAGATATATGTTGAATTGAGGGGGAGTAATATAATGCGCTGCACTCTTTTTCCCTTCGTCAGGATTTTTTCCCATTGGGTTTTTCCTGACAAAGGTTTTTAACGAGACAGTACATTATAATACTATGAAACTAATACCCCAGAATAATTAGAAGATGACCATTCAAGGGGGAGTGTTGAAATATTATTGAATTAGTCATCTTCTAACTATTCCTGATTAGGAATTATTATCACCATTACATAAATAATTAGGAAATCATAATTGTGATTTCAAGGTGATAAATGTGTGGCTCACAATGATCTCCTAATCTCATTGAGCTCACACTTTCTCCTATAAATAGGAGTCATTCCCATTGTAATTAACATACCATTACAACACCATTATCACACTTCTAATAACATCTTTCTCACTAAGTATTCAGACTATACTTTCTCTCCCTGATCTTCTGCTTATTTCATTCCATTTTATAACACTTATGACAATCCAATTTGTGTCCCTTCAGCCCTTTACGTATATATTGATTAATTTGCATCCTAAGTTAATTACATTTATTACTCTTAAATTTAAATAAACTCAATCGATATATTTTAGTAATAAAATAAAAAAGAAATTATATGAATAATAAGTAAAATCACTGTTGAGGTTAAGTTCTCGCACTCCAAGGGCTTTCGTTGGATCTTTTAGGGGTATACTAGGTATTTGCTTTTAGATTGTTGCAATGTTATTTATTTGTTTTCCATTCCTGTAATTTATGTAATTATGTTGATTTTAAATGTAATCAATTAGTAATGATAACAACTTTTGTTTGACAACATAATTAAATGGTACTTTGTGGAGCTAGTAGGAAGATGTTGCACAAGTACACAACATTTCGATCATGTGTGATTGTGTGTGGTTGAAACCATTGTCTATACCTATGTTTAAAACATTGATCCCCTAAAACCCAGTTTGGTTAATCTTGTCGACCCGGAAAAACCCGATCTAGACCCGAACATGAAAACCTGATAAACACAGAAAAACATGCTTTTGGTTTTTTTTAAAGTGTTTTGTTTATTTTAAAGCATTTTTAATTATAAAATTCCAATTTTAATACTCTGTATTTATATATGAGTAGTACTTATTTGTTTAAGAATAAAAACATGTCAAATTATATAATAAATGCAACATAAAAATAACAAATTTAGAGTATCGTTATATATTTAAATTAGAAAGATCAAAATAGTATTTTGGAATATTATGAGACCATTTTAACTTTTGAAATGTTTAGGATGTATTATCATTAGTTGATTATAATGAAATAATTACCTTTTATTTTAATTTTGTATCCAATTATATGTTTATTATATCTATTATTATTATTATGTTGACCGATTTTATGACATTGTCCTGGTTGACCTGACCGGATTCGAGTTGACCCGTGAACCGGTCACGCGGCTTGATCATTTCCTGGTTCAGTTTCTTAAACATAGATTTGGACGTTAGACAATGAAAACGTACAATTATAACTCAAATCGATAATTTGTTGGATTTAAGAAAAATGTAAGGCTTCTCCCTCCGTATAATAATAATAATACGGAGGAACGACCTAATTACTATGAGTCTATGACCTAATTACTTAGAGGATAATAATAATTTACTAAATTTCATACTCCCTCCGTATTACTGTTATTGTCACACTTTCCTTTTTGGGTGTATCAAAATAATTCACTACAAGAAAGGTGACATTTCTTGACACACACAAAGTGTCAAGAAAAATAGAAAAAGTGTCAAGAAAAAACCCTATGGCCTTCTCCAACACACATGCAAAGTGTAACTAGGAATGGTGTTAGGAAAAACCTTTCTTGACACTCACATACATGTGTTGGCAAATCTCTTTGCACTTTTGTTAACACATAAATGTGTCAAGGATTTGATTATTTACCAAACAACTTTTGTGTGTCATGAAAGATTAAACACGACACATAACTGTCAAGAAAAAATGTGAAAATTGTGTTGATTTATTTTGAGGCACGATATGATTATTTTTAATTAATTATTGTATAATATGCTTATATTAGTAATAACAAACGTGGGGTACTAAATACTACTGTAGAGAGAAACTTGCATCTCACTTGAAATATTTGAAAACCTACATTATTGAAGTAAATTTTACAAAGCAAGAAAAATTAAAAGAACTTACGCCATAGATTTAAAGTTTTTCCAGAAACTAGGCAATGCATTCATACTGAAACTTACATCATAGAAATAAAGTCCAAATAAAAAACCTAAAGTTTGAGCAATGCAAATTGCAATTCCCCATAAAATCAACTATATGCCTGATCTACAAATAGCTTCTTAAGATCGATGTCTTCCCGTTGATGATGGCTCATTTGTAGGCGATAGTTCATCAACAACCTGAAAAATAACATAATTTAGTCAGAGGTAGAAATTAATAAACAAGCCTCTGATATAAATAAATAGGATCATAAATTTGTAGTAATACTTGCCTATATAACTAAAAACTTACAACTGCATATTACAAGAAATTAACCAAAGAAAATACTGGACAGAGGTAGAAGTAAAAGAAAATATACTACAAATTTATTAGAGCCACAAATGCAGATTTTTCCAGCTTCTAGTTAAGAAAACAAAAATCGATAATTTGTTGGATTTAAGAAAAATGGAAGGCTGAACTATGAGTCTATGACCTATTTACTTAGAGGATAATAATAATTTACTAAATTTCATACTCCCTCCGTATTACTGTTATTGTCACACTTTCCTTTTTGAGTGTATCAAAATGATTATATTGTATCACTTCTATTTTTGCAAATAAATCCACTCAAAACGAAGCTACAGTGTTGCTACGTACAGTACTGCTACAGTGCTGCTACAGTACCAAAAAACTCATACTTTTTTTTAAAAAAAATGTACAATAAACCTATAAATGTTCTTAAACTACTACAAAACCCTACTGGGACAATAAAATTGATACAAAGTATATATACACAGCACAGTAGCACACATACACATATGTATTCACTTTGTATTAGGGAGTGTTTGCAACAGTTTCAAAAAGCATTTCTCAACTTTTGACTTAAAAAACACTTATTTACCAAATACTACCAATTTTTACTTTTTCTCGGCTTGCGTGTGAAAAGTGTTTTCCGCTTTTCTATTACACAAAAACCACTTATTTTACCAAACACTACCAACTTTTACTTTTCAAAATCACTTTTTTCTCAAACACTATCAACTTTTACTACTAATCACTTTTTCCTTACATCTCCAAAAGTGCTTTTTTTTAAGCAAAGTAGTCTAACTCCACAACTTTGCTGCATGCAAAAAACTTATGGACAGGAAACCGTGGTCTGTGGATATTGGATAACATTCAAATATTCAATCATTCAATACTTTGTAGCGCATTGATAAAGTTAATTTGAGTATAGGGAAGCAGGACAGGAAACTTCATCGATCAAGATACAAACAAATATGGGGTGATTTACCAAAAAGGGGGAAAGGGGGTTGGGGTTGCCAAAAAACGGGGATTTTTTTAGGGTTTACAAAAAAGGGGGAGTCGGAACTGGGTGTTCCGACTAGGTTTTAGGGTTTTTAAAAATGGTGTTCTCCCCTAGTCGGATTAGGGAGTTCCGACTAGATATTTTTTTTTGTTTTTTTGATATTTGTTTTTGAATTTGAGTTAGGGTTTCGAAAAAGCTAAAACAAAATCCCTCCCCCCCCTAGTCGGATTACCCAATTCCGACTAGGGAAAAAAAATCCAAAATTTGTTCCCCTGGTCGGATTACCTAATTCCGACTAGGGAAAAAATATTTTTTTTTTTCGGATTTTGTTTTTGATTTTGATTTCGAAAAAAAATAAAAGTGTTAGGGCTAAATTATATTAATTCCAAATTTGAAATTTAATGACATATTTTTTAACATGAAAACTTAGCATTATGATTTTTTTACTAAGAGAACAATTGATTGCTTTAAATTGTTTTTTAATCCATTTGTATTGTGAATTTTGTTTTAATTGCAACTTTTGTAATTTTATTAAGTGCAATTTTGATTTACTCCATTCGTCTAATGAGATAAAATTTTGATTTTGTTTTAAGTGAATTTTTTTTGTAATTTTAATGGAAGTGAACAAAACAAATGTAGTTTTGAATGTAATTTATTAATGAATAGACGGTACATACAATATTAAATTTAATACTACATCTAATGTTGCGCGCTCGGCCCTGCTCCGTCCCTACCGCCAGTGTTCCAAGGCCCCGTTGTGTCTCCATAGTGAAAAGACGAATTCAGAAATGACTCAACATAATCATCTGGTTGTGTGGACCACTGATAAGAACTTTCTCATGTATAGTAGTATAATCATCTCCTTCACTAACCCATAGTACCGCCCTAGGAGGTATAGAGTACTCTATTTCATCATCTTTTTGAGATGTAGAGCCATTCCAATGAACCATAACAACAATATTGCCCTCACTAGACATTTTTATATATGGTATATATTATAAATATAATATGAGAGGGGAATACTAAACAAAAAAATAATGAATATATTAAAGTGTTTTGGGGTGAATATGGTATGTGCGGATGGTATGTTTAGAAAGAAAGAA